CTTCGTCCACGTTGACCAGCTAACCTAAATCAATCTAGTCCCATTGGCCAGCATTTGGCCCATATCCCTCTAAACCCTTCCTATCCATGTGCCCATCCAGATGCCTTTTAAATGTTGTAATTGTACCAGCCTCCACTACTTCCTCTGGCAGCTCATTTTATACACGCACCACCCTTTGTGTGAAAAAGTTACCCCTCAGGTCCCTTTTAAATCTTTCCCCTCTCACCTTAAACCTATGCCCCTCTACTTTTGGAATCCCCCATCCTGGGGAAAAGACCTTGACTATTCACCCTATCCATGTCCCTCATGATTTTGTAATCCTCTATAAGGTCACCCCCTCAGCCTCCAATGCTCCAGGGAAAATAGCCCCAGCCTATTCAACCTCTCCCTGTAGGTCAAACCTGGCAACATCCTCGTAAATCTTTTCTGAACCCTTTCAAACTTCACAACATCTTTTCTTTAGCAGGGAGACAAGAACTGAATGCAGTATTCCATAAGTAGCCTCACCAATACAGCCGCAACATGACCTTCCCAACTCCTATACTCAATGCACTGGCCAATAAAGGCAAGCATACCAAATACCTTCTTCACCGCCCTGTCTACCTGCGACTCCACTTTCAAGGAACTATGTACCTGCAACCTAAGGTCTCTCTGTTCACTAACTCTCCCCGGAACCTTACCATTCAGTGTATAAGTCCTGCTCTGATTTGCCTTTCCCAAAATGCAACACCTCGTTTGATGAGGACTCGTCTACTGAGGTTGTATGGGCTGAGGTTAGAAACAGGAAAGGAGAGGTCACCCTGTTGGGAGTTTTCTATAGGCCTCCGAAAAGTTCCAGAGATGTAGAGGAAAAGATTGCAAAGATGATTCTGGATTGGAGCGAAAGTAACAGGGTAGTTGTTATGGGGGACTTTAACTTTCCAAATATTGACTGGAAACGCTATAGTTCAAGTACTTCAGATGGGTCAGTTTTTGTCCAATGTGTGCAGGAGGGTTTCCTGACACAGTATGTAGATAGGCCAACAAGAGGCGAGGCCACATTGGATTTGGTACTGGGTAATGAACCAGGCCAGGTGTTAGATTTGGAGGTAGGTGAGCACTTTGGTGATAGTGACCACAATTCGGTTACGTTTACTTTAGCAATGGAAAGGGATAGGTATATACCGCAGGGTAAGAGTTATAGCTGGGGGAAAGGCAATTATGAGGTGATTAGGCAAGATTTAGGATGCATAGGATGGAGAAGGAAACTGCAGGGGCTGGGCACAATTGAAATGTGGAGCTTGTTCAAGGAACAGCTACTGCATGTCCTTGAGAAGTATGTACCTGTCAGGCAGGGAGGAAGTGGTCGAGCGAGGGAACTGTGGTTTACTAAAGAAGTTGAATCTCTTGTCAAGAGGAAGAAGGAGGCTTGTGTAGAGATAAGGCGTGAAGGTTCAGTGAGGGCGCTTGAGAGTTACAAGTTAGCCAGGAAGGACCTAAAGAGAGAGCTAAGAAGAGCCAGGAGGGGACATGAGAAGTCCTTAGCAGGTAGGATCAAGGAAAACCCTAAAGCTTTCTATAGGTATGTCAGGAATAAAAGAATGACTAGAGTAAGATTAGGGCCGGTCAAGGACAGTAGTGGGAAGTTGTACGTGGAGTCCAAAGAGATAGGAGAGGTGCTAAATGAATATTTTTCGTCAGTATTCACGCAGGAAAAAGACAATGTAGTCGAGGAGAATACTGAGATACAGTCTATTAGACTAGACTGGATTGAGGTTCATAAGGAGGAGGTGTTAGCAAATCTGGAAGGTGTGAAAATAGATAAGTGCCCTGGGCCGGATGGGATTTATCCTAGGATTCTCTGGGAAGCTAGAGAGGAGATTGCAGAGCCTTTGACTTTGATCTTTATGTCGTCATTGTCTTCAGGAATAGTGCCAGAAGACTGGAGACTAGCAAATGTTGTCCCCTTGTTCAAGAAGGGGAGTACAGACAACCCTGGTAATTATAGACCAGTGAGCCTTACTTCGGTTGTGGGTAAAGTGTTGGAAAGAATTATAAGAGATAGGATTTATAATCATCTAGAAAGGAATAATTTGATTAGGAATAGTCAACACGGTTTTGTGAAGGGTAGGTCGTGCCTCACAAACCTTATTGAGTTCTTCGAGAAGGTGACCAAACAGGTGGATGAGGGTAAAGCGGTTGATGTGGTGTATATGGATTTCAGTAAAGCGTTTGATAAGGTTCCCCACGGTAGGCTATTGCAGAAAATACAGAAGCATGGGATTGAGGGTGATTTAGCGGTTTGGATCAGAAATTGGCTAGCTGTAAGAAGACAGAGGGTGGTGGTTGGTGGGAAATGTTCATCCTGGAGTTCAGTTACTAGTGGTGTACCTCAAGGATCTGTTTTGGGGCCACTGCTGTTTGTCATTTTTATAAATGACCTGGATGAGGGCATAGAAGGATGGGTTAGTAAAGTTGCGGATGATACCAAAGTCGGTGGAGTTGTGGATAGTGCAGAAGGATGTTGCAGGTTACAGAGGGACATAGATAAGCTGCAGAGCTGGGCTGAGAGGTGGCAAATGGAGTTTAATGCAGAAAAGTGTGAGGTGATTCACTTTGGAAGGAGTAACAGGAATACAGAGTACTGGGCTAATGGTGAGATTCTTGGTAGTGTGGATGAGCAGAAAGATCTCGGCGTCCATGTGCATAGATCACTGAAAGTTGCCACCCAGGTTGATAGCATTGTTAAGAAGGCGTACGGTATGTTAGGTTTTATTGGTAGAGGGATTGAGTTTCGGAGCCATGAGGTCATGTTGCAGCTGTACAAAACTCTGGTGCGGCCGCACTTGGAGTATTGCGTACAGTTCTGGTCACCGCATTATAGGAAGGATGTGGAAGCATTGGAAAGGGTGCAGAGGAGATTTACCAGGATGTTGCCTGGTATGGAGGGAAGGTCTTATGAGGAAAGGCTGAGGGACTTGAGGCTGTTTTCGTTAGAGAGAAGAAGGTTAAGAAGTGACTTAATAGAGACATACAAGATGATCAGAGGATTAGATAGGGTGGACAGTGGGAGCCTTTTTCCTCAGATGGTGATGGCTAGCATGAGGGGACACAGCTTTAAATTGAGGGGTGACAGATATAGGACAGATGTCAGAGGTAGGTTCTTTACTCAGAGAGTAGTAAGGGCGTGGAATGCCCTGCCTGCAAAAGTAGTAGACTCGCCCACTTTAAGGGCATTTAAATGGTCATTGGATAAACATATGGATGATAATAGAATAGTTTAGGTTAGATGGGCTTCAGATTGGTTTCACAGGTCGGCGCAACATCGAGGGCCGAAGGGCCTGTACTGCGCTGTAATGTTCTATGTTCTCACATTTATCTAAATTAAACTCCATCTGCCCATCTGATCAAGGTCCCATTGTACTCTGAAGTAACCTTCTTCGCTGTCCACTACACCTCCAACTTTGGTGTCACCTGCAAACTTACTAACCATACCTCCTATTTTCACATCCAAATCATTTATATAACTGACAAAAAAGGTGGACTCAGCACCAATCCCTGTGGCACACCGTTGGTCACAGGCCTCCAGTCTGAAACTCAACGCTCCACCACCACCAACTGTCTCCTGCCTTGGAGCCTTTCTTGGTTTAAAACAGAACATTTTCCCCCTTTTGATTCCAGCAGTTCAAGGAGTTTAAGCTACCAGTCGTTTTTTAAATTGGGAATCAAAGGGAGGCGATGGCCTGGTGGTATTATTATTATGGTGGCATTTCAACTCTGTAAAAATCTGGAATTTTTTTTGAAAAAAACCTAGCGATGACCAGGAAACCGTTGCTGATTGATTCCCCTTAGGGAAGGAAGCTGCTGGTCTACATATGACTCCAGTCCCACAGTATTATGGTTGACTCTCACTGCCCACAGGGCTATTAGAGATGGGTAATGAATGCTGGCTTGGCCAACAATGTGCAAATCCTCGGAGTGAATTTAAAAACACAAAGTCAACTTTGGAGAAACAGCCAAGCAAAGCTTTCAAAGAGATAAGACACAGGATTTCATGGTTTGAGTACTGGGAAAACCTGCCTTAGAAAGGGCTTACAACCTTTGATGATTGCTGCCTGGGAACCCGTTCTGGCCTGAGCCTTACAGACTCAGGACTCCAGTGAAGAGTTAGAAGCTGCAAGCCTCTCTCCTGCTATCCTGTTCTCAGTCAAAGTCTCTACAAGCCTGGTAAGGGCTTTCAAAAAGATCAATATTTCCACCAACTTGGTAAAACTGGAAGAGGTGGGCCACAAATGGCCCAAGAAGGTTCAAACCCAAGTTTACTGCAATGAGAACTGGCCATCTATCACTAATCTCTGGCTATCAGCGACTCAACAGGAGAAACAGTAAGATGGGACTTAGTGGGCTGTGATTTTTATTTCCCTTTTGCTTTTTAACCGTCATCTCTGCCTTATTGTGTCGCCAATGTATCTGTCGTGAGATCGAGGAGATATACTTTAATTCCAAAAATCACAGCTTGGAAGTTATTCAGCCTGTGTCATTTTCACTTAAGAATAAGCTCAGTTTATGACAAACAGATGAATTTGGGTTCATGAGAGAATGCACAACAGGGACAGAAAAATAAGAGAGAGAAGAGATAGGAATACAAAGAGGGGGACAGAGAGAACAGAGAAAGAGAGAAGGATAGAGAATGCAAGAGACATGTAAAGAGAGAAGCAAGTGACTAACTTCCTCCCGTTTTGAGACAGTGGTAACTGAGGTTGGGACTGTCCCTTGCCAATGTTTCTACTGTTCTCCTTCCAGGCTGAGCCCTGGAACAGTGTTAAACATTAGGATGGAGACTAGCCAGAGGCAGTAGGAGGGTGAGTAACAAACATTCTTGTAGAGTTTCCAGAGAAACCTATCCCCACCTCACACTGCTGTACAGCCTCTCTGCCCACACCCTTGCTCTCACCCACTGTTACACACACACACACAGTGCAGTTTATTGCAGGCATCATTGTGAAGACATACAGGTAGACTCCTGGTGCTGAACAGCTTTATTGACACCTCCGTTCGAGCACTTCCTCGTTAGCTGATCATTCTTGGCCTATGGGAATGGGGGAGAAAGGAGAAGGCGCCTGCACGAACACAGTGAGGGCATCGGGGGGGATAACACAGAGATAGTTGCAGACAGAGGGCGGACAATGATCCAGGTTTGGGAATGTGCTGCTGGAGTTGAGTGGCGGGGGACGGAGCGGGGTAGGGGCAGTGTGCAGAGGGCTTCAGATCCTGTTGGGGTTCAGTCCTGCTTACGGGAGGCAAGACCCTGCTCACCCTCTGCTTGGTCCATCGCTGCCATGTTGCGAGCTGCTGTGATCAGGTGGATAACGCTGATGGCAGTTTTGATTGCACAGATCGGGAAGGAGCAGTACAGGAGCAGCTGGAAGAAGTGGATATTCAGCGAAGGCACTGCGGACAGAGAACTGGGATTACATCGAGCAGGAGCTCCATCTCCAGAACGACACCCAATCATCCTGCCTGAACTACAGAACACCTACAGTGCAGTGGAAAGATCATTTTTGCAATTTTCTGCCTTTATGGAGTCTGAACTGAAACAGCCATAGAGTCAGACAGCACAGAATCAGACCCTTCAGCCCATCCAGTCCATGCCAACCCATAATCCCAAACTAAACTAGTCCCACCTGCCACCTCCTGTCCCTATCCCTCCAAACCTTTCCTGTCCATGAACTTATCCAAATGTCTTTTAAACACTAACTGTACGCGCACTCACCACTTCCTCAGGAAGTTCACTCCACACACGAACCACCCTCTGTGAAAATATTTGCCCCTTTTTTTTTTAAATCTTTCTCCTCTCACCTTAACAATGTGCTCCCCTTGGTCTTGAAATCCCCCCACCCTAGGGGAAAAGACACCCACCATTAACCCTATCTATACCCCTCATTGTTTTATAAACTTCTATCAGGTCGCCTCTCAACCTCCTACATTCCAATGAAAAACATCCTAGCCTCTCCTTATAACAAACCCTTCCATACCTGGCAACATCCTGGTAAATCTCTCCCGAACCCTCTCCAGTTTAATAACATCCTTCCTACAACAGAACTGGGACACAGTTGCTCCAGAAGGAGCCTCACCAATGTCCCTGTACCACCTCAACGTGACATTTCCTACACTCAAAGCTCTGAGCGATGAAGGCAAGCGTGCTAAATGCCTTCTTAACCCTCCTGTCTACCTGTGACACAAACTTCAAAGAATTATGTATCTGAACCCCCAGGGAACAGAGAGACCTGGGGAAAAGGACTGCTTTAAGAACAGAGGATTTCGGTGCATTTTAAAAGCTGGTTACCTGGCATTCAGCGTAAGTTTCAATCACACTGCTGTTGCTTCAAGCAGTAAGGGAGATTACTACACGGTGAGCCGGAGACAGAGATTCAAGGGTGGGGGGGGGGGGGGGGCAGCGATGAGAGGTCTGGCCAGTAACAAGTAGGTGAGTGGTCTGTGTGCTCCCTAGATGGAGTTTGACCCGCCCAGTAGAAACAACCTCCCTGCTTCTGTCTTATCTATTCCCCCCATAAACTATATGTTTCTATAAGCTTCCCCCTTCATTCTTCTAAATTCCAATGAATATAGTCCCAGTCTACTCTATCTCTTCTCATAAGCCAACGCTCAACTCCTGGAGTCAACCTAGTGAATCTCCTCTGCACCCCCTCCAGTGCCAGTACGTCCTTTCGCAAGTAAGGAGACCCAAACTGCACACAATACTCCAGGTGTGGCCTCACCAGCACCTTGTACAGCTGCAGCATAACCTCCCTGTTTTTAAACTCAATCCCTCAAGCAATGAAGTACAATATTCTATTTGCCTTCTGCCTGCCAACAGCTATGTTCCCAGGTAACAGAACAGCTTGTGGATGTGAACAAGGTGACCAGAAGCCATTGAATTTCTGAAAGGGAAGGAGCTATTTCTGCTCTGCAATCTATTAAAAAAAAACACCTCAAGCCCAAAAGAAATCCAGTTTGTTTCCCCTTGTCCATTCATAGAACAGTACAGCACAGTACGATGTTGTGCCGAACTTTAACCCTAAACTTAAAGTCTATCTAACCTCCACCCCCTACCTTATACTAACATCCATATGCCTATCTAATAGCCGCTTAAATGCCCCTAATGAGGCCAACTCCACTACCTTCTCCTGCAATGCATTCCACACCCCTACCACTCTCTGAGTAAAGAACCTAACTCTGACGTCTCCCCGATATCTACCTCCTTTCACTTTAAAACTATGTCCCCTCATAATAGCTACCTCCACCCTAGGAAAAAGTCTCTGGCTGTCCACTATCCATACCTCTGATCATTTTGTACACCTCTATCAAGTCACCTCTCATCCTTCGTCGTTCTAAAGAGGAAAGCCCTAGCTCTCTCAACCTTTCCTCCTAAGACCTTCCCTCCATTCCAGGCAACATCTTGGTAAATCTCCTCTGCACCTTTTCCAATGCTTCCACATCTTTCTTGTAATGAGGCGACCAGAACTGGACTCCAGATGTGGCCGAACCAGGCTTTTGCATAGCTGGAGCATAACTTCACGGCTCTTGAACTCAATCCCTCTATTAATGAAAGCTAACACACCATACGCCTTCTTAACAACTCTATCCACCTGGGTGGCAGCTTTCAGGGAACTGTGAACATGAACCCCAAGATCCCTCTGCTCCTCCACACTGCCAAGAATCTTTCTGTTAACCTCGTATTCTGCTTTCAAGTTTGTCCTTCCAAAATGAATCACCTCACACTTTTCAGGGTTAAACTCCATCTGCCACTTCTCAGCCCAGCTCTGCATCCTATCAATGTCCTTCTGTAACCTAGAACAGGCCTCCGCACTGTCCACAACTCGACCCACCTTCGTATCGTCCGCGAACTTACTAATCCACCCTTCCACTCCTTCATCCAAATCATTTACAAAAATCACAAATAGAAGAGGACCCAGAACAGATCCTTGTGGTACTCTACTCGTAACTGAGCACCATGTTGAATATTTTCCATCCACTATCACCCTTTGTCTTCTAAGGGTCAGCTAATTCTGAATCCAATCTGCCACATTTCCCCCTATCCCATGCCTCCTTACTTTCTGCATGAGCCTACCATGGGGAACATTATCAAACGCCTTACTTAAATCCATGTATACCACATCCACTGCTCTACCTTCATCCACATGTTTGGTCACCTCTTCAAAGAATTCAGTAATGTTTGTGAGGCACGATCTCCCCCTCACAAACCCATGCTGACTATCACGAATCAAACTGTGCCTTTCCAAGTGATCATAAATCCCATCTCTCAGACCCCTTTCCAATAATTTGCCCACCACTGAAGTAAGACTAACTGGCCTGTAATTTCCGGGGTTATCCCTATTCCCTTTTTTGAACAAGGGAATGACGTTTGCCTCTCTCCAATCTACTGGCACTATACCAGTGGACAGTGAGGACGAAAAGATCATTGCCAAAGGTCCTGCGATCTCTTCCCTCGCTTCCCATAGAATCCTTGGATAAATCCCATCAGGCCCAGGGGACTTATCTATCTTCAAGTTCCTCAAAATTCCTAGCACATCTTCCTTACTAATGTAGACCTCCTCTAGCCTACCAGCCTGTTTCACACGGTCCTCCTCTACAACTAGGTCCCTCTCAGTTGTGAATACTGAAGAAAAGTATTCATTTAAGGACCTCTCCTATCTCTTTAGGCTCCGTGCACAAATTCCCTTTACAATTCTTGATCGGCCCTACCCTTTCTCTGGTCATTTCTTATTCCTCACATACGTGTAAAAAGCCTTGGAGTTTTCCTTGATCCTATCTGCCAAGGTTTTCTCATGCCCCCTTATAGCTCTC